TATACACATGCGCAGATCGATTCGCCAGCAGCGAGTCATCGCCAGCAGCAGCGAGTCGCCAGCAGAGAGATGTCACTGCAGCAAAACACTATTGTACACGGTACCAACGCTGTTCTAATATAGACAAATGGGTCGTGCTCATATTATTTGTTATATTTTTATTATTCATTATTTTCACTTGACTCGCATAAATAATTTTGTTCGAAGAACATTTTATGCAGTTGTACTTCGCAGCACTTCACTTGCAATTTGCAATTTCTAGTTTACTACGTATTGTAGTAGAAACCAAGCTTAAAACAAATACTGTATACACTAGAACATGGTTTGGACGTAGCAAATAGATAAAGAGAATGAAGTATGAAATACGCTTTTCTAAGCTTTTGATGTGTGTTGTTTTTTGGTGGTCGCGGTTGTTCTTCGGACTGATATCAGCATGCCATAGTATATCCATCCATGAATATTAATATCCATCTCGGTTGAGGCTGTGTGAAAAGATCTCTACCAAACAACTGCTCACTTCTGAGATACTGCCCTCTATTGAAGTAAATTATCAACTTCGGCAATCTTCCATTTTTATTGATTTAAAAACTAGTAGGGTCTATTAATTATACTGGAATGCGCTGTCAGTGGTGGCTCCATAAAACTGTCGACCAGGGGGTCAAACATGTTTGACAGGGGGTACAAAAAGGGGTTGCCGAAGGCCTCCGGTCAGGTTCTTGGATTAAAGCATCTGGTGGGTCAATAAAGGGAAATTTGATGGTTTAGGATGATTAAAAAGTGATTTTAGAGAGCATAACATTACAATATGAAATTATAGCAGCTTGTGGATCGGAAAATTACTATTTTTAGTACGGCGACCTCTATTGGCGTCCGAAGATAGGGGTTCATGCTTGACCGACGACAGGAATCCCCTGTGACCTCCGGCCCCTTGCTGGCGCTGCTACTGATGCTGATGTGCCTGATACATGACCATAAACTATTGCCTAAAATATGGACTGAATTATACAGTAATAATGATAATTATAGATTTTAGATGAATTTTCTTGAATAGACATGGTAATACTTACCATCAGCATCGTTGTCCGAATAGACCTAAAGCCCGGAATTCACTGCGCCCGACGGTCGCCTGCCGACGCGATTCTATAAAGAACGCAATGCCACGACATGTTGTGCGCAACGGATCGTTTTTAATGACGATCCGTTCCGACTGCCACATTCACCAGACGGCGTCGCGTCGTCTAGCGCTCACCGGGAGCGGAGTTGAATTCCTCGTACGACCGTCTTACTTACGACGCAGACCAGTTTTAGGCCTATCTATCGTAATCGATTTCTTTATCAGAGCTATAGTACTTTAATACAAGTTACGACTCTTGTCATACAAAACATTATGATACTTCAGGCTACTACTACTACTATTGCGAAGTGATTATGCCGGTCTGTTTCAAACAGTCTCTAATGTGGATGCAGTACTGTGCTATAGGCCTACAGCAACACCAGAATTAGCTTTGTGTGAGTATATACATTATAATGTCAAACAAATTTATTAACGTAATTAGGCATAATGAAAACCTAAAATGTTATATAGGCCTACTGTCGGGACATAGTAATGCATTATTCAATTTATATAGTGTTTTTTATTGATACTTCGAAGAATATTCATTATGATTAGGTCATTATTTATTATGTATTAATTGAGGCATTATGAATTACAAAATGCACGTAGATACTTCGTATGACATTTATTGTAGATTTTCATAGTATTATCTTTGCTCGTCTATAACCTTGACTATATTCGATTAACATGCTTGTAAATGTGAATGTCTTCAGATCTAATCATGGGAAAGGTGAATGTTCACATCTGACGTTCACTGACATCTTTGTGAAGAACTCGTTAAAAATATGATAATGTTCATGTTGATGATCTGGTGATAATGATATTGATATTTTTTTTTTCGCAGTTGTTTTCAAATGTACTGAGTATTCGGTACATTTCCACGTCAGGTAGGGCAAAATTACACCTATAGATATTGATATTCGAATTTATATAGCACAAATTATATGACTTAAAATCAATGCGCTTAGGCCCTATGTTTCCTTAAAAATAAGTGTTTTAATAATTGTTTTCAAAGTGAATATTGTCCAAGATAATATAGGCCTAAGTGAAAA